AACTTCCGGCTGAAGGATCCTGGTTATTGAAGTCAAATCTGGCATTTCCTGTGCAAGCCTACTAAGTGCTAAAACTCTCATTGCCACTAGATGGTACTGATATACATCCATAAATTCTTGTCAGAAATGGAAAAGAATTTTTGCATGCTTGAACACTTGCTTAAACTCAGACTCTGTGACTAAAATACCCGATTTTATATAACCATCCAGGTCTCAGGATTCTCAAAAATTCTTTTGAATATATAGCAGCTACTGCTGATGAGACCATAGCTGTTAAAACTGTGAAGGTGACACAGAAAGAAAGTAGGAGGGACAGCAAAGTAAGAGAAATAGAAAAATGGAGGTTGCCCAGACAGTGTACAACCAAAGCAGTTGCTGAGACTGGATTATCAGAAGTCTGAATTATTTAAAACTATAGCTTGTATCAGTTTTCTAAAATAAATTTATACAATACATTTGATGTGTATTCTTTCTAAAACTAGGAAAGCCAGCAATGAGAGGGAAGGATGGCAGTTTTGGGTGTTCACTGCAGTGGTGAATTCCTGTAGCAGGGAGCAAGACTAGATGATCAGGAGCACTGTAAGCCCCTCCCATGTGGGAAATCAACAAGGCATCACCTTTGGGCACCACTCCACCTAAACGCCATCCCACTTCTTTTCACTCTCTTGCTTTCTCTGTATTTTCTGTTCTCAGTGATTTTCATACTTTTTCTCCCACTGCACTAATAAAACTTTTTAGCCTCTCTCTCCCCCCACCATCGACCTCCTGCCCCTCCCTCCTTTTCTCACACATTCCCAAATCTCTTTTGAACTTTTCAAGCATCACATTCCTGTATCTATAGATTCAGACATTCAAGCAGTCATTTACAACTGTCCCTAAGCCATCTCCTTTCCTTCAGCTGTGAAGTGGACTAAAGAAGCTGTGGAAAGTAATAAAAAGCAAAGGGTCACTCTAAAGTGAGAAAGGCTGGAGAAGGGAAGAATACAGTAGCTGAAGAAATGCCACCATGGCTTTAAAAAAAAGGACAATGAAGAGAGAATGAACAGTTGAATTGATCAAAATAGTGTTTCTGAAATTCTCAGCAACTAAGAAAAAACGTGTCAAATGAGAAATATAATTTAACCACATCAGAATTATTGATTTGGTTTTGAATCATTTAAACATTACACAACACGTTAAAATAATGTTAAAAGCCTTTTTAGAAAAGTCCTTTATTTGACAAATTTTTCTAATTTCCCAAATGATTCAATGAAATCAACAGAAATTTTGCAAACAACTCCATGAAACCATTTTTTTTCTGCTAAAAAGCTTTGGATGAAAACTTCTGGCTGCTTCTAATTCTGACTATGGTTTACTTGAAGCTGCTCTGCAGTCTCAAAATAAGAGGATTATGAGACAGCACAGATTCACAGAAGGAGTAAAGGAGTTTCTAACTACAAAGAATTTTTATTATTTATATGTGTGGATATGTACATACGTGTTTATGAAGCTGCTTATGAAAGTTGGATCTACAATCTAACCAGGATGTAAGGTGAAAAGAACGTGTATTTTAGAGAGACAGAATAAGCAGGAAATGCAATATGATCTTTGCAGTCTGAAAGAGAAATATATGTACTTCTGAAGAGGAGACCACAGTAGTACATCTAGAGAAGCTAGTAACAAAACTTAAAATATATTTAAATAATTAGATACTACATAGGTAGAGTAAATAACAGAAAAAATTAGTAGAGACAGGAAAATTATCAAGTCAAATAGTAAATATCAATCAAAAACTAATCTAACATAAGCTACATCTTAAAACTGTTTTTCAAACATGGTCAAAATCTACCTAAAATATAAACATGGAATAATTTTGGTAACAGGTAACTTCTGACTGCTGTCTAGTTTCCTACCTACTGTCATGGGTACATTTTATGAATTTTACCACCGGTGGTATCAACCTTCCCACTACTATGGCACATCTGAAAGCTTGAAGTGGACTTTGTCTCTTAATCATCTGGTGCAACACCCATAGCCCATATAAAGGACAGAGTTGAAGAAGTGTTCAGTGTCAGATGTAAACAAACTCTACATAAGGGTGAATGATTTTTGACAGGACAGAGCTGAGAGAAACTACTGAGTCTTTTCCTGGCTGTCTAGCAGCCCTTCATCTACAACAATCCTGATTAATAAAATCAGAAGGAAAACAGATTACCAGCTTCTCCTCAGAAATCTGTAAAAATTAACTGTCTTTGTCCAATGCTAAAGTGGAGCATTAAAATGCACAAGTGGCAACTTGCCATCATTCTGTGGTTCTGTGCTCCTTCTACTCTCCAGCTGTGTGTTCTTGTACTATATTAGCATTGTCCCTAAGTGCATGACCTTTCATTTATAGTTCTGATTTTTCTCTCATTCTAGTAACACCATTCAAACTCATCTAGTCCTTTCTGTGTAATCACTTGCTCATTCTTTGACAATGCCTCCTAGCTTTGTGATAGCAGCAAATTACTTTGGCATATTTCCACTTTCTTTGCTGAAATAATTAATTAAATTTTAAATAAAATCTGTCCCAAAACTATAACGGTGACAAGCAACTTTGACCAAAGTGTAGGTTACTGTGGTATTTGCTGTAGTTTGCAAAATATGTTAATACTACTCTAAGAATATTAATCTTAAAACAACCCCTGAAGTTTATACTTTAAAATGAAATAGTATTTTTTGCGTTTAAAGAGCAAAAGGGGTAGAAGAGGGAAAAGGGAGCTTTTTCTTCTTGTAAATAGTGTACATTTAATAAAACACACTGAACCTAAAGAAATTCCTGTCACCTCTTCCCCACATGCTACTGAAAACACTCACCACACTACTAAATTATTCATGGTGATCTAGATGACTGAAAAACATGTTTGCGAGCTTCACAGATGCCATGAAACTGGGAGGGCTACAGGTAAACAGAAGGACAGTATTAGAATTTAAAATCTCCTGACAAATATCAAAATGGTCACCAACAATGATGCAATTCAAGAGATACAAGTCCTACAGGATGAGGAACAGAAGCCCACCAATAGCTCTGCAGGAAAAGACCTGGAGTACTTACTGCACCACAAACCAAGCATGAGTGAAAACTGTCAGTCTTGCAAAAACAAAAAGTACTTGGATTTATAAACTTGTAAAATGATCTTCTACTCTTCCAACTGGAGCGGTGTGTCCAACTTGGGTACTACATTTCAAAAAATATGGGGGCCACCTCGAAGGAATTCAGACCATGGCAATAAAAACATAATCATGAGAAAACATCCAAGGAATTGTGGGATTTATTTGACTTCTTTCTGTCTTAATTTTATATTGAAAAGATTAATAGAATACACAATAAAAATCTTTATATGTCTAGAAAGCTCCTCCAAGGAAGAGGAGAAGTTTGTTTTCTTTTTATCTGGCACATGGGCAAACAGGTTGTGGGGTTAAACTG